ATTTAAAAGACCTGTTTAACTGCAGAATATATTTAAAAAGAGATGCTGTTCGATGGCTAAGAGGGTAAGGTTCAGAGGTGATTAGTACTGGTTTAATAATATTTAGCTCGGTATTCCCCAGAAACAAAACTTCTAAGGTGCAAGTTCCACTTCCAAAGCTTTCAAAGCTGAATTTGTCTAATTATATTTAATTTAATTGGGTTTGTCACTACACTGATGATTGCACAGTCACATTTGATTAAACCATGTCACATGTCACTCACACTCATAGGTATCAGAAATAAAGGCACAAAAATCAGTATATGTAAATATGTCGTTTTTCTAAAGATGTTTTTGGTAATTGAGGTGCTTCATTAAGACAGACTGCCTTGCACCTACCAACCAACAAGCTAATGGGTAGGCCTATATGGATAGGTTATTCAGACATAACATCTTTAACCTTCAACACCTACACGTGTACACACTCAGTTTGAATTTTTAGAGTCCTGCATAAGAACACCATGGAGTCAGGATGAGCTAAGGCTCAAACTACTTTACCAATTATGAGCTATTCAAAAATTCTGGACTTAATGATCAGTAACTGTCAGCGACAGGCAAGTGCATTCCTCTGGTCTGAGCAAACTCAATCAAATCCTCTGTTGTGATAATGTGGTTTGGCATCAGCAAAAAAAAGAAGCCCTGGGTCTGACTTCTAAGTCCACTCAGACCCACAGCAACAGAAATGGCCCCGTTTCCCAGTTGGCACTAGGTTTGATTGGCCGGTGATAAACAGTTCCTACTCCTTGCCTCTCTGCTTTCCTTCTATCCACTTGAGATGGGGAGACTGTGCTCTAGTTAATGACAGCTTTGATTGAGCCAATTTACTCCCCTCCGCCAGTAATGAGGGTATTAGTGGTCTGAACATAGCACAAGGAACTGGACCTGAGCCATGGCTACAAGACTAAGAGATCTATGGGCGCACTACAGGAAAGGTTCGAAAGATTTCAGAAAATGTATATAAGCTAGAACCAGTGTCTCGTTCCTAAATTCTTTAGCACCAACTACCAGTATCTTGGAAGGTACATGGACTGAACTACATAGCTAATAAGGTTTTTGTTAGCAAAAGAAAACACAACAAACAAAATGTCCCTGACAGCTTTCAGTGAAATGTTAGCCCCTAGATCAAGGAAAAGTTCCACCTTTGTAATTGTGTTTTGCCACTGCTATGGTTTAATGTTAGATTAGCTTGAAATATGTGATTAGCTGGGAACAAAAACACTTAGTAAGTGAAATATTTGGGAAATTGATGGGGGGAAAAAGAACTATTGCAATTATTACAAATCAGAAAGAGAGTTTTTTGGCTTGGCTACTTCTGAATGGCAGATGACTAACTGGGGAATTATGCTTCAATAGGAACTGCAAACCACTCTGAAACCTAATGTGCACCTCCCTAGAAGAGTGAATGCACATCCGGTTGATGCAGTCTGCAACTATTGCTATTAGCCTGCTGAGTACCATTGATTCCTCCTGTGAATTTCCAGCTAATATTTTGGAGAAGATTTTGAATTTATTAGAGAATAAATCAGATCAGATCAATAAAAAAGAAAATATGAATCATTGTCCATCAAGGGGGACAAATCAGGTCTTACACCTGATTTAGACCTCTGCGGTCTAAATATGGCTTAATATCGGTTTAGGTCACAGGTTACAGTATAGGGTTTAAGAGGGGTGTGTGTCACCATAGCATAGATTTACAGATGAAGGATAAATCCCCAGTAAGAAAGCTTGAGAGACGGTTCTGTCCATTGTGACTTTTTCTAGGTCTTAACAAGCCAGACAACGTATATAATCTCTTACCATGTTCTTGATCTGATTAACAATCTCATACCAGTTACACATGATAGGAAAAACCACCAGAGGCAGACACTTTATCAGATACCAGACAGACAGAGTGGCTCCTTTTAATGCAAAGGAAGTTGTAGCATGAATCCTGACTATCTAAGCTTTTTATCCTAAGTCTAATGCTCAGCCTGGCCACCCTGTCTGAGCACTACAGTTGTTTTATTGTACTTTTTATATTTTACATTTATATTTATTTTGCATTTTGCACCAAGGGAGTGGCACTCCAATTTCGTTGTACTTGTACAATGACAATAAAGGCTATTCTATTCTATTCTATTCTATCTATTCTGTGCTCCAAAACAATGTTAACATAGACAATAAAACTCTAGCAAAAAAAAAGTGGAGGGTTTTGGTGACACTTTTAGATTAGAAGGGTTTTTCATTTCCTTATCCAATTATACAGACAAGATGCCTGAATCTCTGGATACTAAGCAGGATTACTATGACAACAACACAACACATTTCCAGCAGGGTACAACCACCCTGCCTCACATTTGTACGATCCACTTTACATCCAGTTCACAAGAGGACACGGATCTCCTTAACATGTAACAGATCAAGACCATCACTGTGAATGAAATGTGTTACAGTGATTGTTTTCGCTTGACTATCTTGCTTTTAATGTTAATGTTTTAAGTCAAATTCCTGTCTGAAAATGAAATGAATCACCCAGCCCGAGCTCACTGCCAGACTACACAGCATCCAGCAGTGTGAGGTAAATAAACCACCTCGATGTAAGCACACAATGCTGGCAAAAAGAACAAAAGGAGTCAGCCAGAGAGAGTGATTGACTGTGTAGGGACCTAAAACCAAACCTGCGTAGCGTAAGAATGAATGGGAGACTTACCAGGTATGATGGAGGGGAATTAGACAGTCATTGTGCAGTGTGTGTGGGAGATCGTTTAAATCTCTGTGCTTTACAGACCATTTAAAAGCAAGTTTCTCTCTGCCTGGAGAGCATAATGAAACATTTAGACAGTAACCATTCTTCTCTTTTCTGCTTGTTGGTGTTTTTGTGCGAGAGTGTGTGTGTCAGCACACTGTGGTGGGCATCTGACCAGTACTTCATCATGAAGTGGCTGACACATTTGAGGCACTAGAGATCTGACTGTGCAACTTTGGGAAACACCAGAGAGGGAATTTAGGGAAGCAAAGTGATATTTTATTTTTCACACACACCAAGATCTCTTTCTTACACACAAATAAACTAAACTTAATATAAATTTAAAGAGGACCGAACTAAGGAGGACAATCTGATTTTGGCAGAGTGGATAGCAAAGGATTGTTTTGTCAGCCGATTTACGCACAAAGTCAGACAAATCTATACCAGAGGTATGAAAACCACATGAGAGGTAGCTCTTAGAAGTGGTTACCTTTTAAAGTCAAGTTTAATCTAGAACTAGACCCAGGATTTTTGAGTAATTGTACAAATACATATCAAATAGAAACAAGGATAATTGACATTCTTCTGACATTCTCAAAAAAAACCCCAGCAAAAATCAATCTGGATCATAATATCTTTGCTCGTTTAATTTATTAACAGTTGAGGCCAAAATAAAGAAAGAAAAAAAGTCTGGGCTTTTACAGGTTCTCCTCTCTATAAATAAAAGTTCTTAACCATTTACAAAAACTTGGGTCACAGCAAAACCAATACAGTTTTAAAAAAAGGTTAAATTTTATATTCATCTCAAGAAAAAAAAGAAATAATAAGAACAGTGTGGACGGACACCATGAAGGAGACACAGTGGGTGGTACACTGGTTCAGATGTTAGCGTTCAACTCAGATGATGATAGCTCCCACTTCAAACTCTAAACTATTTATGTGAGGTTAAAAAGAAAGTAGTTGAAGCACTCTGAGTGATCAGTAAGACTAGAAAAAAGTGCTAAATAAATGTGAGTTCATTACATTACACAATGTATCATGGTACATTTTAGAGCATTTCTAAGACAATGTTCATTGGGCAGGTGAACTAATATTAACTTTTCCTACAATTTTAGAAGAACAGTGTGCAAAAACAAACAAAACCCGTCATTGTGACACAAATGCATAGTGGTGGGAACTCCACGTATCAACATCATGGTTTAAGGTTGCTTTGCTACTTCAGGTTCTGGTTACCTACCAAACATCAATCAGATTCATAAGCCACTGTCAGTTATCGTTCACTTGGTTAAGTAGGCAACCTATATGCCAAAAGGCTACAGGGACCGGGTTTGATGCAGCCTAAACCATGCCTCTCTATAAAGACTTACGTATGCATGACTATGTGCATGTCAATAATCAAAAATATTATGACAACACCTGCCTGATATGCTGTTGGTCTTGCACATGCAAAGTATTAGAGGTAGAATATGAATTTTAACTGCATTCCAGCATAAAAATTTTCATTTCTTTTCCCATTTCAGGAGAAAGATTGAGTTAAAGGTCTATATATTGAGAACTTGTAACGCACAGAGAACTAACAGGGTCAACAGTATCAACAGGTTTCACGGGGTATTATAAAAGGTCCAGAAGTAGACACCCCCCTCTGCTGATGAGGGTGGGTATTAAAAAGCATTTGCACCTCTGTAAAGTTTGGCTAGCAGAAAAGGTTAAATGGGCGGACTGTTGCCAAGTCAACGAGACAGCTTCCATAAGCTATCCATTTTTAGAGGAGTCAAGGTTAGACTCTTGTCTGTTTATAGTATGGCCCCTGCCATTAAACTCAAACATATCCAATTTAAGTCACACATCAAACTTCAAATACTTATGCAATCACGAAACTGAATAAGAGAGACATTTCAAGTACAAATGGTCTTAGAGTGTATAAAGGCAAAATAAAAAGGTTAATTCAAGTTAACCAAGAATATAAATACCAACAATAAACACATCGGTTTCATGGAATCTCTCTCAGTTTTGAAAGGTAAATTAACACAGAGTGTGAGTGTGTGGACATTAGCTTAAAGGTGGAAAAGACGATGTGTTATCAATGTGTGTGTAAGTGGGTTAACTTAAGGGACGTGTTGCAAGTTACCGAACTTTAAATAAATGTGTGTGAAACATAGAAGATAGAGGCTCAACAGTCAGTCAGCCGAACAACCAAAGTGTCAAACAATCACGTACCAGAAACAGCGTTGGGAAGAAGACAAACAGACGCTCATACCTTGGGAAGACTAGCCTGAGGTGTAGGGGTGGGAGTTGCCTCATCATTGATCTGACAAGGCTGGTCCTGCTTTCTTTTGACTTCAAGGATGAGCTGAGCCAAGAAGTTCTGCTGGAACCGGGTACGTTTGCCAAGGGCACCTACAGATGAAATCAGCTTAAAAGGTTTAGATATACTATGGTTAAATTTTGACATTTTATTCAGCATCACCACTGGTAACTACATTTGCATTATTCAACAAATATTTGATAATACAACATGTTGTCAGTCCAGCTTAGAATGTTGGACAACTATTGCTCTGTCCACACTTCAACACACCCAAATCTGAAATCAAGGATATCTAGGATTTATGAGGTTATGCTGAATATAAAGTTAGCAAAAAGATAGTTAGCTACAGCAGCTGACATCTAAAGATTTCTTGAATATCTCTGAATACCAATTTCTTACAAATAATAAA